CTGAGTATATGCAACTGTTGTTACTCTCTCAACTGCAGATAGATACACATCAGAACCGTTCGTCACATCCCATCCTGACCTTCTTCTAGGCCCCGAAAGAATCAACAGCAACTGTATCTATTGAGGACTCGGACTCAGCTTCTGTAGGACTGCTTAAGTGTGTCTTAAGTAGGAGGACTGCTGTGGATCCAGAGATGATTCTTGCTGGCCAGCCTGTACATATTGTACGCTAGCTAGAGGATTCAGCAAGTTGACGCTGAAGCAGCAAGAAATGTTTGCCGTTTGCATCCATGTATAGTTGTGGTCGGTTGTGGTGGTGTCAGACAGACTACCCTGTACAGGGTTCCAAGTAGCCAGATCAGATGGCTACAACGAATACTCCTTTCAACAACCATTGTGCTTTGCACATTCCACTGAATTCACACATTGTTGTTCTTTTGAATTGTTGTTGGTGTTGGTTGAAGTGTTACGAGTACAGGTGGTTCCAGTCTCCCCTGGTTTGTTTTGTAGGCGTTGAAGGTGGGTTCAGCAAAGGGATGTGTTTACGTGAGGGTCATCAAAGTTGCTGTCTACATGTGGTCAGAATGCAAGTCCATTAGGATCGTTTCGGACATGATGTTACCCCCCTGCAGACTAGCCTGGACCCTAAAAGCCACTGGGTTGTTATGGTCTTAAGGGTGGGTCCATGTTACCCTCCCTCCAACAATCATGGAAGCTGACCAGGACCCCCATGTAGAGGAAAACCGTCTTCCAGGGGCCGAACTGTTCCACTTCCATGACTTGTTTCAGGGAGTGTAGTCAAAGCCATGGCTGTTGGATTCGCCAGTCGCTGTGGCAGTAGATGGCACTGGCACCTCAAGATGTGTTTTAGGGAACCCCCCTGGCCCCAACGGGTTTTGGTTTATTATGTCCCTTCTTCCAGGGGGCTCGTTGCCTGGGAGGTCTCCCTATTTCAATACCATATAAACCATCGGCATGGGACATTTGTGCCATCTACATGTCTGATGAGGGGGTCCTAAACCACCGACAGTGCCATCATGTGCCATCTCTAGGGATGCCGTTTTCGTACCTTCTCAGGTTCGGTACGACTGGCACCCGATCCCATGCCTGAGAAGGTACGAAAACGGCATCCCTAGCGGGATCCGTTTTCGTACCTCCTCAAGTTCGGTACGACTGGACCCTCCTGGCCCAGTCCCACCGAACCGAAATGAGGGTACGACTGGATCCTTAGGGACACTCAATATCACTCAACCAGGACCTTCCAACAGGTGGTTTCTCAGAGGGTACGACTGGATCCTCAGGGCTAGGGTATCCACTCGTCCATTCGTCCCTCTCAGGTCCAACCCCCGAAGCTCCCCGAGTCGGCCCGTTTCGGGGCCTGCGTGGACCGAGGTGGTGTCCGGAGACATCAAGATCCAGGACCGGTGGGGAACGGAGGCATCGGTGCGGCTGGGAAGTGCTTGGGAATGTGGAGAAAAACGAATGAATGAAGTGGACACATGGGGTTTGAGGTAGCAAGAGCTAGTAGAACATAATGTTTCAGCCCTTTTTTGGGTTTCTGGGCACCTGTTGGAAGGTCCAGCTAGGGGTGTTGGGTGGGGCTGCTGGAAAAGGACCGGGTATTTTTTCGTGGCATTGGCATGAAGAAAGGTATAGAAATGCGGCAATGCCTGGAGGGGCCGGGCATAGGTCATTCGAGAAAACAGGATGGACAATATTTACAGCTGACTGCATCAAAGATGACAGAGAGAGAGAGGGGAAGAGCCAGACATTTGACACAATTGTTGTTTGATTGTTTCCCCAATTATCCTAATCTACATATGAACAACTGCCAAAACCTCCGATAAAGGCAGCATCACTACAGTGAAGACTAAGTAAGTAAAGTGCAGGAAACCTTCAGGAACGATAAGGTTCACAGAAAACACGATAAGGTTTCAGTACATGTTGTTAGGTGTGTCCACACCCTCAGGAACGATAAGGTTCACAGAACAATAAGACGATAACGTTGGGCTGCAACGCATAAGAGGTTTTGCACGTCGCTCATATCAAATTTGAGGATTCATTTGAGACCTTGCCACTTGCTGCACTGATGGTGAGCAACTTTTGGACCCAGCTGAGGTGGCCAAGACTGGGGAAAAAAAACAGACATGGCATGACATGGCCAACCGCGGCTGCTACGGTTGCTCCACCTCGAAGGTTGCTCTGCCTCAAAATCTACGACATGATCGTGATCTTCCAGTTCGAGCTTTCTTTCGAAGTAGGTACATCCAGGGCCCAAACCATCAAAAACCGGGTTTTCCCTAGCAAAAACAATGGTTTTTGTTTGTGAACACCTTTACATGTAGGTACTCACCTGAGTTCGCAGAGCTACCACTTACCCCTCGTCGACTCTTCGACCTGGTCACACCCAAAAAAAGCCTTGTCACTCGAGCTGCTCCCCGCTGCAGCGATGTTTGGGCTGTTCAACCACCGAACTCGGTGCGGCACGGTGCGGAGCTGGAGCTGGCGACGGGTGCCACGCAGGACTTCTTCTATCCCATGGGCTCGGTGGCCGCGTCCTCGAAGGAGGCGGCGGCGCTCACCTGGGCGCCTCAGCCGAAGGGACCGGACGAACTACGCCCGGGCGTGTGGAACGGAAGGGAAGGGAGCCGAAGGGCCCGGACCCCGGGTGGTATCTCTTCGGTTGGCACTCCGGGTGGCACACCGGAGTTTGGGGGTCATGATTTGCTTCGCGAGCTTGGGTGAAGGGATGGTAGCTAAGAGACAGAGGCCTTTCTGCTGAGGGGGTTAGGTTGAGATACTTGACTAGGGGGTGGAGGTACAAGTAGATAGACTTGATTCGACGTAGCCTCTACAAGGGATCAAAAACGAAGCGCCCGCGTCTCGACCCTTTGCTCCTGGCGTAGAATGTTGGAACATGTTGAGTGCCAATGCTCGAGTTGGAAACAAGTCCCTCCCTTGAGTAGAGCATATAGTGAAAATATGTCTGGAGTTCCCAACTTGCAGGTGTCAATCTTTGGAACAACTGAATCTAGCACCATGATGCCAGGTTGGTAGGGAATATTGAATATTGTGATATATATATATATGATTCATTCTGATTCAAAGAGTATCAACAAAACCAGGACTGCAAGGCTTGCGGAATCCAGTCGCCACAGACGAAGATGTTCTGAAGGGTTCAGACTGATTCAGCAAATGATGAGAAAGTAGAACTGCCAGTTTTGAAGCGAAGGCTTCGCACAAAGATGGATAACATTGGATGACTAGAAATCAAATGTCCAAACACTCAATGTGTTTTTTTTCTCAAATGGACGGGGGCAACCAATGTGTTTTGGCATATGTCCCTTCTTCCAGAGGCCATTGGGAGGTTTCCCTATGTTGATACACACTCGATGCATGGTGTATTTCCCTACATTGGGGTGCTTTCAGGGATTTATTTCAGCTCCATCCAATGGAGTGTTTTTTGTCCCGTCCTGACGTGGGATTGCTGTTGCTCACTGGTTTTTGTCGTTGATGTCGCCTGGACTTGATGTCGAGTTCACAGGGTTATTTGGTCCTAGCTGCTATATAGCTCAGCTATAGAGGCACAAAAAGACCACAAAGAACCCAGATTAATTTACAGTCGACTGTGTTTTGTTGGGACACCTTCAGTACTTAAGGGCAATAAGGACAATTGTGGACACCTTGTGAGCCATATTCTCTCTCTGATCTTCCAAAGTGTTCGAAACCATTCTCGGATCTTCGAAGCTCCAAGGACTACTACAAGAGCCACTTCGACAGGATCTGGAGCCTTGGACAGGGCGAACGAGCGATGGCGACCCAGTTCGATGGGACGTCTCCCAGTTCGTGATTCCATCGGCAGGAGAAGAACAAGAACAGGTCACACAGAACAGGGCACCGGAAAGACCCCTGAATCATGAATCATGTGGTGTGGTTTCCGTTTTTGTTGCGGTTGAGATCGGTGCAAACTGTTCGAACGAGATCGAACGAAAAGCTGTGAAGCGACTGGTCAGACTTGTCCACCGTCACTCTCTCACCAGCTTAGGGTAACAAGATCCCAACTTAGGGAGGAACGTAGCTAGGGTAACAAGTAATTGTTTGGAAGGGGTGTGTGGTGTGCAATGATGTGCAATGTCTTAGTTTCTTTTTTAAATGTATTGATTTAATCCAATACTTTCTTGATTCTGAACCCAGGCCTCTTACATGATGTCAAGACCCTTAACAAGGTCTATTTGGTTTCGGCTTTTTCTTTGGAAAACAATCGTTTTCTGTGGTTCTTCGGGATACCCAGACTCTAGTCCAAGTTGGGCGAACAGCAGGGCAGTTGGGCGAATACCCGAGTCTAGTAGGATTGCAACCCGACTCGATTGCAGGGTTGAATCATCAAAGTAAATCCCAGACCATCCATGTAAATTCCAGACCACCAGAAACATCAGTTGTAAATCCCGTTGTGCACCACAAGTGATCAAGTATTGCATATTTGCCTGCATGTATTCCATAGGTACCATGGAATATGGCTTTGGGTATCTCTGGGTCAGGGCACCAGGACCCGGGTTTTTCCACCGAAAATGAACTGAAGGAGGTCAACCTACTGTAGTCAGGGATTGGGGGTCTTGGTTTTGGACTTGCACATCCTTGGATTGGGTGGCAAGATGCTTGTAGCACAGCTGTTTGCTGTCCCAGTTGGCCGGTTGGATCGTGTTCAGAACTGGCTGTGGGTCAAAACCAATTCCCTGGTAGGTTGACTAGTACTTCTCCTATCTTCTCCTTGTTTATTCTGTTCATCGTTCATTTGGCCTAACACTCCACTGTGCCAGCCATTGCCGGGGATCCGCTCGCGGGATGCCGCCGGTGCCACCCTACATCGGCCGCTTCCAGGAGCATGTGCAAGACGGCGAGCCCATCACTCATGGACGTGGGAAGTCTCAGCGAGCGAAACTGACGGGCGAAGTCTCAGAGTCACGTTCGACGGGCGGTGGTGTGGCTCGTCCCATCCAGTAACAAGTGCCACGCTACTAGAAACAAGTGCATCGCTAACAAGTGCCTTACTAGTAGTAACAAAAAGCTATTAGAATTAAAATAACTTTAAATCAAATTAATAGCTTCTTGTTACCAGTAAGGCACTTGTTACTACTAGCGATGCACTTGTAATTACTAGCAAAGGAATCTAGTGAGTGGATGTGACTTTCGGGCACTCCGAAGCTCCATGGATCGCATCCCGTCGAACGTGACTGCAGAACTCCAAAGTCACGGGCTCAGTCCAGATCGTGCGTCGTTTGCCACGTCAGGCGATGATCAGCCTGTCTGCACGTGGCTTCAGCACCGCAGAGGCTGCTGCAGAGGTGGAGCAGCACCTTGGTGTGTGGCCAGGGGTGAGGAGGAAGCTTTATTGGTACTAAGATCGTGAAAAAATCTAAGAAGTTACAAAAAAACCTTCTAGAAACATACTAACATACTTGACGAAACATACTAAAAAACCTTCTTGTTACAGGTGAAACGATTCCCAAGGAAGCTTTATTGTGTCAAGGGGTGAGATGAGGAGCCACCGCTGAGGAGCCGGTTCCGGAATGTGCGGATCGGCTGCTTCGAGCTATATGAAAAGGCCATTGGTTTTCGGGGTGGTTGGTGGTCCAAAAAAAGAGGCCACTCCGGTTCTATTACCTTTGCATATTCAATATGTGTAGAAGTGCAATCACACAGGAAGCTGCTGTGACCTGACATCCGAGGATGTGAAGATGATCTAACTGGTTCAGATGACGAAAAGCACGGTGGAAGGATCCAAGTTTGCCCAGAAATATTGAAGTTTTTCCGACTCAAGTTATTTTACACACACTCTGAACTCATCCATGGAAGTTGAGTTCACCACGTGTTTGGTCCTTGAATATCATTCAGAAGTGGATTTTCCCCAGCAAACGCGTCTTTCGGGAACAACCCATCAATCGAAGAACACGTTCCCGACCTGATGATGACCTACCTGATGAAAGGTCGAGCGATGTCCCAGTTTTGGATGGATGGGTGCACTCCCTAAGCTTGGACTAACTATTTTTGAGCATCCCAGTAGCTTGTCCTATAGTTAATTACATAGTTTGTCCACATTGCCTGCATAGCTGCTATATCGCTCCATGTAGTGGTTGGCTCCATGTAGGGGGGTAGATATTGCGCTTGCCACGTGCCAACCTTCCCTCCATATTTCACCCAACCGCTGTTGAGACATTTGACATGTCAGCCTCATGTGTGGCGTTGTGAGGTTCTACAAAGAACACCCCTTGAAGCAGAACCAGAGGACCATCTCCCAACTTCTAGCGACCCGTCCAGATATCGAGGGCGGGCTCTTCCGTGGGATTGTGAGACGTGTCCCGTGATTGACGAAGAACCCCTACGAGGTTGTTATTCTATTGGTGCTGTAGACTTTCTGTGGTTTTCATTGACAGTTTCATTGTTATTCTGATTGTTATTCTTGTGTCATGCTTGGTGATGATCATCATATATTTGGGGGGTTGACGACTTTATCATCA